GATGAAGCAGCTTTTTGTCCATGTAAATGCAGATAACAAGCCTGCCCGTGATCTGTACAAGAAAACTGGTTTCGAGGTTAATTGCTTACCCTTCTTGAGCATTTTAATCTTCCATCCATATAATTGTTTTATGACTTTGCCATTATTCTTAGATATTAAAACAATAAGGGTCTGCTCTGTTCAAAATTTATGATTCATGCTACCATGATTTGAAAGTACTGTCAAGAAATTTGGAAGATGAAAGAATAAAATGTGTAAGCCAATCATCGGCAATTTCTTTTGGCATGGTGAGTCGTTTAATAATGGAAATATATCCCAGAATCAACATACCAAATTTGCATTATTCAGCATATCCTTTTTTTTTTCATACTTATAATATTTTATTCTTCTCAGTTTCATTCTTTGCATTGATATGATTATTATTGGATTGTTTCACATCTGACACAATAAAATCTACTTTGAATTTGTCTTATCTAAGATCAAGTGATGGATGGCATGTTAAAAGCATAATATTAATCTTTTTGGAAAGCATAATTAATCTTTTTTTCATACGATAATATTCATTATTGAATGGTCAAAAGTTTATAAACATAATTAAAGTTGAATTGTAACTTAGTCCAAAAAAATCAAATAACAAGAAGGAAGTAAATCTTTTATTAAAATATTGACATATTAGCAGAAATCATAAAGAAGCCGTAACTTATGTAGTTTGTTCCTTTTAGGTATAAGGTTAGATTAATTTCTATGATTTGTATTTCTGAAATGCGTTTCAATATTTTTAGTCGACAAGTTATTAGATGCTTATAATAAATTTTCTTCATCTAAGTTCTTTGCATACATATGAGTATATAAATATGTAGAGTTCAATATCATCTTTACTTGATTCATTTTTCTTCATGAATTTGATATCATCTGATGAAGAATAATTAGAGTCTCATATCATCTTAACTCTTTGTTCCGTCTACGTGTTTTAATTTAATATGTGATTAGGCTATCGTGATTTGATTTAGTCAATCTATTGGAATTTTCCATAGTTTGTATGAACTATACAAATTTGATTTTAATCTAATCTTGGATTGATTGATCGATTCCGTGATAGATATTATTGCATCAGGCCAGAAGTAAAAACTTATCAAAATACATAAAGAGAATAAGATGAGTTTTATAAAATAATGAAAATTTCATTAAGTTGTAGAAATGTCGTAACTTGCATAAAGCAGTGAAACATATTAGAAAATGATCAAATAATACAATTTAAACCAGATGAATTCAACAAAAAGTGATGCATACATATACATTGATGATTGATCATGGTTTGGTGGTTCGAATTTAAAGAGCTGCACCACTTCGAAATCATCTTACACCTGAAATCCCAAAGAGAAAAAAGGTTCAAGTTACAACTGAATCAATTTTGGACAACTAGCGCACCTCGAAGTCGTGAAAAATGTGTTCAATAAAGTGAATCACGTTTCCCCCGTGCATTGTAGCCCTTAGTCTTAGTTGCATATGGTGATATTGCTAAGACATTTTTTTTTT